GGAGAGACATATAACCGGGCTGGAAGTTCTGATCAGTGTGTCACCAAAGGTTACGAAAAGTGTGATCCCAGCGACAAAGAAGAGTGTGTCGGCGATAAGAACGTCAATTTTGTTTATGGAATCGATGTTACAGGTACTTGAGTAAAATTTAAATTAGCTTTTGTCATATATTGATACGGTGCCGGCATAATAGAATATCTCATGTTCCAAAACACTTATGCTACTCTGTGCTGTGTCTTCTTCAGAAATCACTTTTAGCCTCAGGAATTTCAAATTTGCTTATGCTCGAGCATATGCATGCTTTTTGTTAAAAGCTCGAGCTTTTCTTTATATTTAGTTATTTGTTACAAAGATCGATTGTGAACAAGTGGATTAAATTCCCTGTTTTTTACATCAAATAAAAATCTCACCTCGTCGACATTTATGCATCTATAATTGTAATGGAACCGAATAGAATCCATTGCGATCTGCAGTCATACGAGTGATTGCAAAATTGAACGAACGCGTGGCGGGAGCCCGATTTGTCAAGTAAGAGTATGATTACATTCTGAATTTGACAATTACACTAATTAACTATGACCATTTCAAGTTCCGAAAGAAACAAATACAGTTATCTGAGAAAATGTCTCCGATATAGACAATGTCTTCCGATATAGGCAATGTCTAAAGTAAAAAATTATTTCATTTTGGAAATTCCCTGGTTTTGTTGGGTAAGTGGTTGTTGCTATGGTTATTGTAATCAATTCTGTGATTGGCGAGTTTAGCTGAGTGGACTTAATATGGGTGGCTGCTTTAACTGCCGATTACAGAAGTCCGATCAAAGCCAACTGTCTGAGTTCATTGTCTGATTAAAACTCGACAGAATAACTGGTGAAAAATATAGCAGCTAGTGCACTAATCATATTTGAGGAAATTGTAATAGATCGATATTGACACGAAATTTGCCCCTCGACCGACCAAAATTCCAAAGTCATTTTAGCACGGGTCTGCTATGAAATAAAGGCTTGTTAAGGTTGATGGAGAATTGAAGCGTCTAACCTTGTCACCTTGTGTTTTAAGAAGTTGTCTTAACACTCCTTTGCATTTTATTGCGGCATATGATTTGCTCCACAGTACCCGTGACCACTCCACCTCGGACTCCCTCTCCCGCCCCACCGGTGACATTAGGTACGTATGAATTACTTCCTTCAGGCAGTATCCAAACATTTTCATCAAAAGGAAAACAGGAAAAAATGAGCGATAACCAACTGATGACCGACAATCTTCATCTTTTTATTCTCATCAGCGATAACGCAATAAGCATTTGAATATGATTTCAACAAAAATATAATTACAATCGGTGGCCTCCGTTTTCGATTCCATCTCCTTGAGTGCAAAGATGTATTTTAGTTATGAAGAAGCACAGTAGTAGAAGGAGTGGTCACGACAAAAGGGGCATTTCTACCTAATGTGTATCATATATATGCCATTCTTGTTCCACAGTAACAGTGTCCACACCGACACAGCCTCCTTCTCCAACATCAGAAGTCAAACCCGGTAAGTCAAGAGTCACAATTCTATTACTCTACAGCTAACACCAAGCAAGATAGCTACAGTGAAAGCCTTTTAAAGTACAACTTCTGCCTAGATCATGAATAGTAACTGTATCGAATTACTTACAACCGCAAACAACATCTCAACAACAGTTTGTGCTTGCTGTGGGTTTTTTTTGTGCGAGTAGAATGTGCTTGGCCTTCCAATCATCTTTCCAATCGACTGACTTATTTGGAATTTAATTTCGTTATCTGCGACATAATGAAAATGAAAACTCTTACTTCATTTTTTTCCAGAACCAACACCTAGTCGCCCAGCCACACCTACAGTGTCCTCCTCAGTGACACCAAACCCAGCAACTCCGGGTACTGGTTTAACTTTTGACTTGTCTGTAGGAGCTAAAAGTTTAATTAGACATTTGAAAATCTACTCAGTTTTGCAATAATGGCTCTTCTTTTGAGGAGCATGATTTAAAAAATATTAAGCCTACGTTTTCCTTCGTGTTTGTATCCTGCAGATGACCACTGATCCATTAATTCTATGGTTTCCTGAAGCTGAAATTTTTGCCCAGTTGCCTTTTATTCTAGTTATCATGGCTCTCAATGCTTTTGATTATCTAAACAAACCTGTCCTTGTTCTTCTCTTTGCAGGCTGCACAGTGAATTACACCAAATTAGGTTGTTTCAAAGATGACAGAAAGAAACCCCGCCCATTACCAGAGCTACTTTCCACTGATCGCGACTCACGTAGCAAGGTCTTCAGCGGAAAGACCATAGACTGGAACAATTGGGACACATATATGATTGGTTTGGTTTGCCGATGCGCTGAGGCAGCTAAAGCAAAGAAGTACAACTATTTCAGCCTTCAACACTTTGGTAACTATCCAATTATTAAATTATAGGAGGTGAAGTGTGAATACAGTTAAAACCCACATATAAGAACCTAGTTATTTCAATTTGGCCCCCATAGGTTCTTATAGAAATGGTGTTTACTATGAAATTAGGCTACCTAGGTATGAAATATACGTGGTTTCTTACTGTCCATCTCAATTCTATCCAGGCGAGTGTTGGTCTGGACCGGAAGCTGGAGAGACATATAACCGGGCTGGAAGTTCTGATCAGTGTGTCACCAAAGGTTACAAAGAATGCGATCCCAACGACAAAGAAGAGTGTGTCGGAGATAAGAACGTCAATTTTGTTTATGGAATCGATGTTACAGGTATTCGAGTAAAGTTTCATTAGCCAGTGTAAAGTATTGACACGAAGCCGTTATACTTACAGTATTGACTAGTATAAATTACTTCTTATCCTTTATGACGAAGTTTCTCGAGAATTAAACACTTTTATCCTTAGAACTTTCAAATTTGTAAAGAACAATGGTTCTTACGTTCGAGCTTAAAAGTATTATGATAAAACGCGAGCTTTTTTCATATTGCAATGTTGATTTCAACATTTGATTTAATAATCGTTAATGAACAAATGAACCAAATACTCTGTGCGTTACTCAATAATAACTCAACCCGTCGGCAATGTTGCGTTTCACAGGAAATTTACCCTTCAGCCACCCAAAATTAAAGGCTTGTTAATATTCGCTGCAAAATTATCGCGTCTAACCTTGTTTCTAAGGAAGTTCGTGTTTTCAACCTGTTTCATTGGCACATCTTCAAAGTGGTACAGATTAACTCAGACTCCCTCTCCTAACCCAGGTGTAACATCACGTGTGACATCTCGTGTGACATCACGTGTGACATCACGTGTGACATCACGTGTGACATCACGTGTGACATTAGGTGTATTGAGTCTCTTCCTTTCAGCAGCATCCAACATTTTCATTAAAAGATAAACGGGAGAAACTGATGCGATAACTAACTGATAACTGATAATCTCCACTGTTTTTTTCATCAGCAATAATGTAAAAGCATTTGAAATAGGAATTCAACAATAATTATAATTTGTCAATTATCTGTGTTCGATTCCAACTTCTTGAGCAGTGTTCTCTAGTTATGAAGCCCTACAATACCAGCAGGAGTGGTGAAAGTTAAAAGAACATTTTCGTTTGATGTACATCATAATTATGTTATTTCTTGTTCTACAGGAACAGTGACCACTCCCACAAAGCCTCCTACGCCGACACCACCAGCAGAACCCTGTAAGTCAGGATCACTATTGATATCCTCTCTCTCTCTCTAACTTCGTTGTTCCGTAAAAACAAGTGAGGTAACCTCAGTGAAAACTGTATATTGTAGAAATGTTGAACCCGCATCATGAATAGTGACTGCATCAAATGACTGATGACTAGACAACACTATGTCAAATGCTACCAGCTTAATCAAAACCAAAAAGCCTACCTGAGAGGCAGCTTTCATTTTGAAATATGATCCTTTTCCAATAAAGCAGCTTGGTTTATGTTGTCGCTGGCTCAGCTTAAAATAGCCATTTACTTGGTTTTCTCTCCATCAGCATGTGATCAAGCCTTGGATATCGGGGTCGTCATTGATTCGTCAGATAGCATAACATTGGAGGATTACAACCTTTGTTTGAAGTTTGTCGCCGATTTAGCCAAGCGTTTTAAAGTATCTGAACAGGAGACTCATTTCGGTGCTATAGTATTCAGTACAACACCACAGCTTCAATTCAGTTTCGCAGACAAAGAATTTTACAAACTTAAACGCCTGAGAAAGAAGATAAGGAGCTTCCCTTATTTAGCAGAAGGAACTAGAACAGACTTGGCCCTTACGCTTGCTGACCTGGAGCTGTTTTCCGAGCAGGGAGGGGACCGGCTCGATAAGCCTGATGTTTTGATTGTTATTACTGATGGAAGAACCCACCCTGTGTTAAGCAAACCGTACCCAGAGGTTTTACAACCACTTCAGGTAAATAATCCAGTCATCTGCAACACCTTTAAGGGAGTTTTCCTATGATTTTAACGCCATTAGTGTAACGAAAACGTGTGCCATCATATGTTCCGTGGTGTGTCAGTCAAAAGAATACATAAGGAAATTTTAGCTTCAAGAATGTTTCCTTTTACCCGATAGGCTAAGAATGTTAGAGTCATAGCTGTTGGTGTCGGAAAGGATGCGGATAGTAAAGAGTTAACAGCCATAGCCATGAATGATAAGAATCACGTGTTGAAGGTCGATCAGTACAAGGATCTAGTTAAAATTCTTGACATTATTTTAAAAGAATCGTGCCACAAAGGTAAGTTTGGCCCAAACCGATCATGTTGCGTTATGGTGTTTGATATTCTCTCTTTGGGATGAAGGAGATTCACGGGTATCGTGAAGAATATTAGCAGGAGTGACGAGGAGAAAGCCTACCTTGTGATATATTAGTGAGTCCAAATCTCGCACTCGACATATTTGGTACCAAGCTCTATGGATTTCGCATATTCCATGTTTGCACCTTTTTCCTACCACAGAAAAAAAGCACTTTTTTAATTCCATTTTGATGTTGGATGTGCTTTAAACTTGGCTTAAATTAGAATTGATATAATATGAGGATTTTTGTTATTACCCACAGCCACACCTCCTACCGCCATTACAACACCTCCTCCGTCCCCTGCGATGGCTGCTAACCTTCGTAAGTTGTATTAGACGGATAACCATCTACTTTGTAAGCAAACTTATGCATTACTTATGATCTAGTATTAGTCAAATATAATAAAATTGACTAAAAAAGTTCCGTGTTTCCTTTTCTTCCAGGTAAATGTAACATCGAGTACCAAAAGCTTGGCTGCTTTGTCGATAAGCAGCCTAAGACTAGCACACTTGCTCTACCTGAAAAGATGTTGAACGAAGTCGTCAACTGGGATCAGTGGAATGTTTGGCTTCCAGATTTTGTGTGCAGATGCGCCAATTTAGTTTATGAGAACAACTATAATGTGTTTGGAATTCACCTTTTCGGTATGTTCACCCGTTTCCTCTTTAAAACCATTAAATCTGACCAAAATCTCTAGTAATCTTATGGCTTTAGACATTATCACAGCCACAGAAAAAAGTAATTGAAAAAAAAAAAAGAAAAAAAAAAGCCATTTGACTCTCTTAAACCTGTGGTAACTTTCTAGGAGAGTGCTGGTCCGGTGTCAAGGCTGGTGATACTTACAATATGTATGGTACAGCAGAGGAATGTTTAGACACAAACCAACAGCAGTGTGGCGTTCAATCAGTCAGAGAGTGCTCAGGAGACCAGAATTCCAACTTCGTCTATCGCATCATCATCTCCCAAGGTCGGTTTTGGTAGAAATTCTGAATTGTTTCCGGTGGGCTTCGAGCGATTATTTTTTTTAGCACCGTCGTTTGTTATCGTTATAAGAAGAGATTCCTTCTCAGTGCTTCATGATTACCCGACACAATTCTATTGTTCTATTGTCGTTTTGGCGGTTCACGGTATTTTACTCTTTGCAAGCCGGTCTAACATTGCCAACTTCCAAAAGTAGAATGCAAAGACTAAGCTCATCCTTGTTTTCTCAACAGGGGCACAAGTAGAACCCTCTCCTGTTCCTGAAACAGCAAAAAAGAGACATGGATTGAAGGGTAAGATTTTTTGTCCCTTTTATTGATATCAACTCAAATGTGAAAAAAAGAATCTAAAAAATTTCGTTAAGGGGTGTAAACCCATAATAAAACCCATAATAAAGAGCTAAAAGGAGATGCAATAATTTTTTGTTACAGAGAACTGTCTGGTGGACTTCATCAAGAGAGGTTGTGTTAACGACTTGCAAAGTCGGAGGCCTTTGCCGCAATTGATGTTCACAGATCTTGACATCAACAACGCTAAGTTCAGCGGTTTCCCAGTGGACTGGGGAAGCTGGAATAGTTATATGGATGATGTTGTTTGTCGGTGTGCCGAGATTTCGCGGTCAAAAGGTTTTGATTATTTTGGACTGGGAAATTTTGGTGAGTCTCTGTAATGTAACGACGTGTCCTTGTAGCTGGCCTGACTGAGGCAGAGTTAAGCGTGGACGAGTAATTTTATTAAGGTTTTATTTCTCATTTATCATGATTGTGAGTGGCACCATGTTAAATATCATCAAGTTATTGTCATTTCAAGTCATTACTTGTTCAGATCTTTACTGCCTCATTTGGAGTCAATTCAATTTTTCTTTGTCTTTTAAATTCTATTTACATTAATGTGACAGGTGAATGTTGGTCAGGGAAAGGTGCTCAAAAGACATATGACAAAGAAAACACTTCTCCATTCTGCATTACAAAAGAATTTGCTGAATGTAATGCAGAAGATGAACATGTTTGCAGTGGAAACAAAACTACTGCGTTTATCTACAGTGTGAAGGAGAATCACAACCCCAAGAAAGGTATTCATGGAAACTTACACGAGATTGAGTGATGAGTCATTAGTCACATTCTGTTTACTAATTTTCTGCATCCTAAAGTACTGATGAAAGAAATGTTATTTTCACCTGCGGATGATATTCAAGAAATACTCCTCGAGGGTAGGCTGCATTTAAAGAAAATTGCAGAAAGAAACCCGTAACAATTTATACTCGGACGGAATTTGACCGCAACTTGCTGTTGCCTCTTCCTCTGCATTAGGTATTACTTTGTGGCTCATGGCCTTAATATAAAAATTTTGAAATAGAGAATATCCTCCTCGATAACGTAACTAAATTTTTAGCAAATGTTTTCTTGTTAACCTTATCTCTAAAATCCGTCCTCAGTGTTTTGGAATTTTTTGTTTTTTAGAGAAGAATTGCTTCACCCAATTTCAAAATGTCGGGTGTTACGAAGACAAGCAAATCAGTCCTCGTCCAATACCAGAACTTATTTTTACCGATATGGATATTAATTCACCAAAATACAGCGGCAAAAAAGTGCAGCTGGGGGAATTGGACACCTATATTGACGACGTTCTCTGCCGGTGCGCTGAGCGTTCCCAGAAGCTTGGTTACGAGTACTTTGGAGTGCAGAATCACGGTGAAGAATTTTATCTTGGTGTTAAATTTATAACGATGATTTTGGTGACGGTAAACGTCGGTCTTACACAGGTTGTTGATTATTCATCTCACTTTCAGCGAATAATCTTTGCGAACCGATAGCATGTTTTAGCGTAATTTTGCAAAATCTCTTTTGAGCAACTATATTTTCTTCCCGTTAATTCTGATTTAAACAACAAAAGTAATTTCCTTGTAAACTGATTTGTCTCGGTTTTTGATATTTAAGAGGAATCAGAAAGTGGAAGGATTATTATGGAACGTTATATTTTTTGTAGGTGAGTGTTTTTCCGGAAACAATGTTGAGCAAAGCTACAGCAAGGATGGTTCATCAAAGCAATGTATCACAAGAGACTTCCAGCAGTGCCCAGAAATAAAACCTAGCAGTAAAGAGACTCAGCAAGACTGTATCGGAGTGCAAGGCTCTAACTATGTTTACCGCATCAGAAATTTGGCGAAAGAAAACAAAATGGACGCTGAGAAGTTGCATCTAGGAAAGTGACGTGACTTTCGATTACGTAGTAGCGGACTCCAAGAATATTGTGATATCTGCTAAAGTTCCAGTTCAATTATTTATCGAATAGTTTGTTCAGAAGAACTCAAATCGATATTTCTGGTCATTTGTAGTCTGCGCAAATTTCCTATTAGCCTTCTGTATAGTCAGTGCTTAACGAAACGAAAGTTTCTCGTTTCAATTAACTAAGAGTCAAAATACCTCACACCGAACGGCACGCTTAAATGAACTTATGTCGGATTTTGACAAATTTTTATCACGCGTCTTTCAACACGCTGTGAACTAGGTATAATGAGGACCATTTTCGACCCATAGTTCACGGAATTTACCTGAACTATCAATATAAAGTTTTTGTCGGCACGGAGTGTCGAGTGCTCGCAACGATCACTATGCACCACATCAAAATTCACTCAAAATTGATTTTCTACAACTCTAAAATAACCAGACAGGTGCGCAGCTGAGCAGAACTGGTAACATTGAATAACATCTTTTCCCCTATTTATTGGTCAGGGAAATTCAATTTAAATGTGAGATTCATAATCGTGATTTGTTACAAATGTTTTAAACCGGAAATTGCAGAATCAAGTTCTTGTGTACGTCATTCTGTTTAGAGTAATTCTTTTTTAGACCTTTACAGATTGAAAAATGAAAAACATTTTTCATTGTCTCCTTGGATAACCAGTCAGGGGAGACTCCCAGTTTCTAGGGGTAGAAGTACCATAGCTGCTATTACCGTCGGTCATGCGTGTGCCAGGGCTCAAAACTGCAACGCAAATATAGTCTCGTCGGACTTTAAAAGGGAACCATACTCCTTCAAGAGAGGATAGAGAGACTCTTTATAATGTAAAACGTAGAACTTCCGGGTGACCGCCGGAAAAAGGAGAAGGGTGTCTGCAAATGTCATTATCATAAACCATTCTGAATCGATCGAGATGATTGCCATGAAGGGTTCAGATGTACAAAAAATTACAATAAATTTACATAATTAAGCGTATTACTGAGAAACGACTCTTTCACTGACTCTGATGTAAATAATTGTATACTTACCGTACCAAATGACCAAACGAACCAAAAAGTTTGTGTTTTTTCCAGACACTAAACTGCACGATTTTCATGGGCAGTTTAATCGTTTAACCTCTCTGAGTTTTCCTTCAAATTGTGTTTGAATCGAGTTTTGAAAAAATGCTGCAAACATCAATTGTTTTTTATTTCACCTCTATGGTGCTTTTCAGTAATTTGTAAAATTTGATTTGTCGCCTGTCTTACAATTGTCTTTTCACAGACATAGAAATATCAGCCAATTTCTT